CGAGGTACTTGCCGTCGCGGCGCTCCACGACCACCCGGATCTTGCGCCGGTGCTCGAGGTACGCCGCCTCCTGCGCCGGCGTCGCTCCCATCCAGACCAGTGGCGCGCGTACCCACTCGCGCACTACTCCCATCCAGAAGTAGCGCTCGATGGGGACGGCTCCCGCTTGGGCTCTGGCTTGATAGGGGACAACGGGGCCACCGGCGGCACCACGCTGTCGCCCGCCGCGGAGAGGGCAAGTGCCTGTGTCATTGCCGCCTCGTACCGAGCCTCCTATTTTGCCTCCATCGCCTCCGCCCTGCGCCGCTCGTCCTCCTCGCTCTCGCGGTAGACGGTCGCAAGGGCCGCCTGGTAGGCGTCCTCCGCCGCCCGGTCCTCCACGCGGACGAGGAGCGCTGGCGACGGCGAGCTCCGATCGACCTCGCGGACGCCCCATCGCCTAGCCTCCTCGTGCTCGAAGGCGAACCACCTTGCCCAGTTGGGCGAGTCGGTTGCGTAGGCGGCCTCGCGGCGCTGCTCCGGCGTCAGCAGCGCCCGCCGGCGCCGCAACTCCTCCGCGTGAGCCCGAGCCGTCCGCGGCGCCGCCGGCACTGGGATCCTATCTGGATCCAGATGCCAGTCGTGCGGCAGGGTCACGTCGGGATGCGACAGAGGCTGACGGTGCTGCCAGTGCTGCTAGTGCCACTCCGCCTGGTGCACTGGCACGTTCACCCGCTGACTCTGCCGGCGAGACGCCGGCGGAGGCGGGAGGAACTCTGAGGGGAAAGGGGTGGCGGGGGCCTTGCCCTTGGCCTTGCTGCCGCTGGTGCCGGAGAAGAGGCCCATCTCGCTGTGGTTGTGGACTTGTGGTGGCTAGGGTTTACCGGCGACGAGGGAGCAAAACTTGGCAGATGTGGATGGCGAGTTTGGATGAGGACGGTCCTGTCGCACGGTCGGCTTAAAAAAGGACGAGCATCGACGCTGACGCATGTGCCCGTGGTCATAAATTAAGCTGACCGCGTGGGCAGCGGGTAGTTGGACGGCCGCCATATGGGGACGCGGCGGACATCAAGAAGGCGCGCGAAGCATCCGTTCGGCGTCCGCGCCGACGCATTTGGGACGCAAATTTGGGCTGCAAATGCATCGGCGCGGACGCGACACAAACGTGATTTAGGTTTGGATCGGTGCGTTGGGTCATTACTTTTGTTCGCATTGATCTAAACGGACACAGGCGTACGAAATGGGTCGAGACTCTTTGGAGTTGCTCTTAAGCCCCGTGTGCGTGTTTGTCTATAGCCATTTGGTGATCTGGTTTGATGGCTAGCATGGCTTGCGTGATAGATGAGGTTGTGGTTTTGAACCACGGCCGGCAATTATTCTGCGTTCTTTGCACTGCTTCTTGACGGGTGGGGCTCAAAGGTCACAGTGACGTTTTAGGGTCTTATTTGCAAGAAATTAATATGCTTGAGAGGCTTTTTGGGACGGACAAGTAATTTTAGGGGGTTTCCACAAAAAAAAGGCCACACACATGCTAGTTGCTAACAGCGGGTTCCATGCCATATTGGCACACCTAGTCAGCACCGTTCATATACAAACACAATCTGCATCGTATATGCACGCACATACCAAGTCGTTGCACCGGTTTGATGTATGCCGTGAGTTTTAATATTAAAGTGACCTTTCTTGATAAATTTAAACACCGCTGACATAATTGACTCGAAAAAGCGTGATATGCAACACATAACAATAATCCTCACTAAGATTAGCCACAATGAAGAGTAACATACACTAGTAACATACATATTTCCCTAGACTATATTACTATCTTTATAGTAGGTAGTAACTTAAGTGTAGTAACATGCAAAGATTCATTTATTAGGTTATAGACTCATATTGTATTGGGACATGTGATGTTATAGTAAGTAGCTAAATTACTACAACTATCTCTTTCCTCATTAACTCATTGTCACATAAGCAAATTTGCTGAGTTAGACTCGATGTTACTGCTGAAGTTACTCCCACTGTGACTAGTCTAAAGACTTTGAAGCGTATCACTGCCAAGCCGTGCAAATCGAACACAAACTCATTGGTTGCTCCGTCAAGTTCCTTTACATCAAGTTTCATCGGCTCCTTTCAGTAACAGCACGCAGGACCCCAACCAACTGGTACACGAGCAGCACATGCGTAAAAGATTGGACTTTCTTGTTATAAAGCACAACATTATTTCTACATATACAAATGGACAAAACAATATGTCTAGTCATGCACATAATAAGTGATGATAACGACTTATTTGCCCCTTGCGGCCAAGTTCAGAAAACATGTGAAATAATCTGGATCGACATAGTGTTGAGTCACATCGGTGTTAGAGCATCCAGGGCCGAACCCCTCATATTGCACCTATACATCCGGGTGGATAGCCCGGTTAGTGACAGGTGAAGAAAATGTGACCCAATTGCCCCCCTCAAACCTAACCCATATCTAAAGCGGATATGGGGAGCCCCGAGCCTGCCCAGACGTGTCCGCATGTTGGATAACGAGCGGGACCCACACAGAAACACGCATAAACCCATCGGTCCGACGAGAGCTCACCCGTGCACCGCCTGAGGGGCCAAACCCTGCTATTTAAGTAGGACGGTGAGCCTGAACCCTAGTAGCCCCCATTTCCACCCCCTCCCCCGCCACCGTAACCCCGTTCACGCCATGTTTTTAGCTCTGAGCTCGCCGTTTGTTGGTAGCCATGGTCCGCCAAAAGGTTACTTACTACAAGATTTTGACCCCATATATAGCGTTGGGAGGAGATGGAGGTCGTCTAGGCACGGCGCGACACTCAGATTGCAACCTGTTTGCCTTTGAACTCTCCGAAGGAGGAGCAGGAGGACGCGCCGAAGTAGGAGGCGGCGCCGGACGCGGAGATGTAGGAGTTGGAAGCTGTGGGACGAACATAAGGACGATGCAGATACAACGCTGGAGCAAGCTAAACTCTCCATGGAGGATGCCTTGGCGGGGTTCGAGATCGCCCAAGCAGAGGAGGTAGAGGAGGAACATGCATCCTTAGAGTCCATCCAGTCGGAGTTTGAGGTCGAGGCCAACCTCTGCTACATCCACGAGGCGAACATGGCACATGAGGAGTTGTTTGCCAACAAGGGGCGCGCGCTGAAGTTTTGCCCCGTCACAGATGACCATGAGGCCGGCGACTCCGGCAAGCACGCCATCACATATCCGATGATGAGTAGATAGGCTAGCTATGTATGTTTTTTTTTAGAAAAGGAGGATGACCCCAGCCTGTGCATCTGGAAGATGCATGCATTCATTTTATTAATTATTCATGAAGACCTTACAAAATAGTACATGAATGTTTAGGATGTCAAAAAAATAAGGGATAACTGGTCACTGTTCAGGTACGTCCACGGATGCGGATGTATAGGGGTCTGAATTTGTGAAGTCCTCTCTTAATAGGTTCTTGTTGCAGCGAAAAGTAAGAAATTTCAAGACACTAATTGCGGATCTATGACCCCATATATCGCCGTCAAAGAAAGAAGAAAACTTGAGTTTTCCTTAAAACAGCATAAAGAACGGTCCCATGCATTGCACGTTCTTGCGTGAAGAAGGGGGTCGGGGTGTGGATCCGAACGGGATGGTGGATTCCATGGGTAGCTGCACTGTCACTGTCCCAGGCCATGGGTCTCTGTACCTCTGACGGCTTGCAACTTTGCAAATTGTCTATATAAATCACATTCCGGGCGGGGTGATAGGGTAAGCCAAAACCCAGCCAGCTAGCTAGCTCTAGTGAACACACATGCAAATGTCGGTCTCTATCCCTGTGGATCTGGCCATGCCTTGGGTTGTTCTCGTGGCCATGGCGGCCCTCTTAGCTGCCTGGTTCATCCATTTTGTCATTAGATGGAACACGAGTCCACCATGCAAAGCAGGGGCAATGCTGCCGCCGGGGTCCCGGGGTCTCCCCGTCCTCGGGGAGTCGCTCGAGTTCTTCGCCCGGAGCCCATCGCTCGAGCTGACCCCTTTCTTGAAGCGACGCCTGGATAGGTAATTACTCTCACTAATCATATCGTCTACCTGCTACTGTTACGCAGCTAAAGAATATTCTATTGTTACGCGTAACAAAATCATGTAAGCACCCTCTCGATTTTCTTAAGCGGTTGATGGATTTTTCTTATACACGACACATGAATTTCACAGGGAACAATTTGTCATAACTTTTTTGATAAAGGGCATTCCTGTTAACTCAAAATGTAGCATCAAGGATCAAGATCATACAAAATATGACGAGCAACACCTGACCTCTGCATACGTAAAATGCACACAGTCAAAGACCAACAGTCTGACAAAAGTAAAATAAAATAATCGATACATCCGCAACAGTAGTCATATAGGCCGACACTATGCCTATGTCAAAATAGGCGATGGACCGTCTAGAGATTATGTTGTACTTCATGTTGGGTAAAAAACTCTCTGACCACCCGCTCCATAGGCATACACACTGTCTTGAACATCAGTTGATACTTTGTCCGGTGCAACATAAACCATATGCGAAGCGGCTTTGCACAGTGGAAAATAATCTGCAAAGAAGTAGAATTTTCGCTATTACAAACCAAATCATTTCTACATAACCAACGCGATCATAATAAGACATACGCTCTCATCCTTATTGGTATTTTGAAACAATTTGAAATGCAGTCCAACGTCGGAAATCAATGGATATATATGCTAAACTTGATTTGGCTATATTTTGTCCTCTAAACTCATAAAGTAAGTTAAACTTGTGACGGTTAGACCGGTCTATGTTCTAGAGTCCTATGACATGCACAAGGAAGGGCAGCAGCAGCAGCAACGCGTGGTAAACGGAGCTACGTGGTCGGTGCTTGAGTGTGTTTAACTGTTGTGGTACAAAGTATGATGTAGCACCGAGCAAGGAACCTAGAAATAAAGTAGAGTATAGAACTAAATGTTTATGCCGCTCTCATAAGCAAACGGTGAGGCAATGGAAGAAATAGATAGGCATCGAACATCAAAAGGGCGATTCCTTTATTAACCATTGCAATAATCTGAAGAAAAAGCCATCTTACTCAATATTTTGTTCGCTGCGCGCACATTGTTTTCTAGTTATTCATACCACCAAAACTATACCCGCTCCCTTGATACAATGTTGACGACTTGTCTTTGCTCCCATAAACTAACAAATAACAACCCAAGTCATATCTAATTAATCCTACCTCTACTTGATCTCAAATCTTAAAACAATTTACTCTATCCATACGGAAAATCTAAACTAAAGATGTGGTGAGTGATTTTGCAAAGATCATTGAATCCACGGAGAGGTCCATGTTGAGGCCGCACATGGTTAGTTCGCAGCCATATTTTGCCTTATTTGCCCAGTTGTGGTTGAGTGGTAGGTCAAGAATATTACGTTGAATAAATTGCTGGCCGCAAGTTGGGCAAAGTTTTACCGATGGTAATGGATGTAGGACAAATGGCACAAGTAGTTAAAGAAGTGCGGCAAGTGGCAGTTGTAGTAGTTACAAACAATAGCCTAATAGTGCTTCCGAACTTTGTGTCAAAGTTTTTTCTTTTTGCGAAATGGTTCTGATCTGTTATAAAAAATCATCGGATATACAAGCATCTTCACCATAATAAAAATTACATTGAGGTCCATGGACCATCGAACGATCACCGTTGCCGCCAGAATGAGCTCTTGCCACTCCCATACCGGAGCCAGACTGGCCTTGTTGATGACAGCGAGGAAGCCTTTGTGCATGTGTCCCTAAGGACCCGCATTCTGGATTTGCATTCGTCGATCATTGAATCATTCTGAAGAACCTGACACCAAATCTCACCGTTGCATGCGCACGGTGAACCCTAACCTCACTGTCCCGAGGAGCTGACAGGAATCTACACCGGAGCTCCATCTAATCCATCCTGATGAACGAACTTGAGGAGGATCGGAGCCCGGAAGGCTGACTCAAAGAAAAAGCGCCGCCATCCGTCCGAGGTCACTTTGTGAGGACTCAAATCCTGCCTATCTACTAGCCGGAGCCAGGGCACCAGGATTCCTCTCCCCACTACCGGCCGTCGGAGTAGCATGCGGAGGGGGAGGGGGGGGGGGGGAATCCAGTGGCTAGGCTTTTTACTAGTCTCCTTGCGAGAGGGGAAAGAAAATCGAGAACCACATGCCTTGATATCTTTTGTAGTACTCAACTTTGTGTCAAATTTGAAAGTTTGATAAGACGTGGCTACGAACCAAACTTGTCCTTACCAAAGATTGCATCTACACACATTCCAATTTTTTATAGCAAGAAACTAAAAACTACTGACAACATACTCATTAATTACCAAATTATATATTTCAAAACATTTTCCTAGTCCAAAATTTTATTTAATTCATGGTATGTTTTGTTGATTCCTTTTTTTGTGGAACGCAACAATGTTGCATCCCAATGGGATAAGTTCCGGCAACATTTCCTTTCTTGGCATAAGAAGTTACCAAGTAGTTACTCCCTTATTTCCGGTTTCAAAGGCTCACACGTATCCCTAGATTGACAATTCAATCAATACAATATAAATTATATTTCACAAAAAATATACCATTATAAAATAAAACATTTAAAGTTTCTGACGACACCTTTTTAGAGATATAACTTGTCTGATGTTGGTCAAATTGTCCATCTAGCAATATGTGTGGGCTTATTAAACCGAAAAGGAGGTAGTATATATGAGTATCGTGCTACTAGTTATAATGTTGAAGCCGATGTGTTTATGAAAAGGATTTACTAGCCCTTCATTATGTGCATATAGTGGAGGTGCTATAGGTTGATCTATAGTTGTTCTTCTATTTTTTTGCGAATGTTGATCAACAATTGTACGAGTAGGTTCATGCATGACTCATCAATTCACCATCGAGCAAAAGAGGTATGGCAAGAAGACAGTATGTTTCACCTTTTTCTGGACGGACTTGCAAATCATTGTAGAGCAATAATATTAAGGGTGGTGATCGCAGATGATTAATGACTTGATAACTAAAGCAGAGAATCACGTAACCAACTATACAATGACACGATTATTATGAGCTTACCATGTGTGGGGAGAAAACAATATTATATGTTGATAAAGAAGTTTTAGAAATACAGTGAGTAGTTATTATTTCCATAAAAATGAAATAATCACCGATGATTTGGCACAATTCTATAAGGCCAGTCTTACTCGGATGTTGATCGTTTTATATGGATGAACTACCCAAAAATTGTATGACAATCGAACTAAATTCTTGGAGAGCTGCCATTTCAGGTATGGTCCAATTTTTAGGACAAATTTGATCGGTGAAGACCTCATTGTGTCTCTAGATCAAGATTTGAACAACTTGGTGTTCCAAAAAGAGGAGAAGTTGTTCCAAATATGGTATCCAGAGTCGCTCATGAGAATCATGGGAGCTGACTGCATCATCGCAACGCTCGGGACTTTCCACAAGCACCTCAGGACTCTGGTACTTCGACTCTTCGGCCCAGAAAACCTCAGGATGGTTCTGCTCCACGAAATACAACAGACAGCCCAGGCCAACCTACTCTCCTGGCTCGATCATCCTAGTATCGAAGTGAAAGAGGCAACCTCTAGTGTATGTCCTCCTATCCCTTTCCCTATATTGATGGTGTTCTGTTATAGGCTGAACAACTTGATTAATTAGGATATACTACAAGTTATTTCACAAAATTGTTGTTTAATTAGCAAAGCTTATACATATACATGATGATTCAAGCAACTCCAAAATTTCATTATCGTAGATGATATTCAGCATCACAGCAAAGCGGTTAATCAGCTATGACTCCTCAAGCTCGGACGGGAAGCTGTGGAAGCAATTTGATGCATTTCTTCAAGGACTACTAGCATTTCCACTTTACATTCCTGGCACAGCATTCTACAAATGTATGCAGGTAACTAGGGACAACTACCACCCACATATTTCTCCATATCATAGCACAAATAAATTAATACATACAAGACCACTCTGGCCTATTCTTTTGGAGCCGCCACTGTATTCTAATATACAACAATATGTAGGATGAATTGCACCCAATACTATTCCCTCAAACAAATATTGCACCCCCTAGTAAGAAAATTATGTATATAGCATTATTAATTGGGACGCCGTGGTGTTTATGCACGTGATTTCAATGCAGGAATTCAAAATATATTTTATTACACAATTAAAAAACATTTTTCCTTATACGTATGGTTCCCTCGTTGCGTAGGGCCGGAAGAATGTCATGAAGATCTTGAAAGAATTGCTCAACGAGAGGAAGAAGGCAACATGTTGGGAGAGTGTTGACTTTATCGATATCTTGATCAATGATTTGAAGGAGAAGAAGACTTTAATGAATGAGAAAATTGCATTGGATTTGCTCTTCTTATTGTTGTTCGCGGGCTTTGAAACTACGTCATCTGGGATAACTGCTACACTCAAGTTTCTATCCAGTGATCCCAAGGCCCTTCAAGAATTAAAAGTAAGTGTGGACAAAGGAAAGTAGCTAATTGAGTGTTTTAATAATAGCCAATTAAGTGTTTGAATAATCAGTCCGGAAAGAATATTTGCCTTGAGATGTACACACTAGTATTTTTCACCCACACTATTAGACATATACCCGCATTAATTTGTGCATTCTATTACAGACAATGCACTAATTTAGCGTTAACACTCCGATACATAATTACTGAACAAAATATACATGATTATCCATATAAGAAATACCCATCTTGCTCCTGGCCATAGTTACACCTATGTCTCATATGCCACCAAAAATATAGTCATGTCTAAGTGGTCTTGTATATGTGTGTTACTACCACCATATACCCAGTATGTTACAGACCACTTAGATCATGTGAAAGGCACATGGATAAAACTACACCTGTTAACACCCAAAGACCTTCCTTTCCATAATCCAAGAAAATATTGTGTGTGTAATTATGTAATTCGTGTATGCAATTGACTAATTAAGGTAGATTTATCAATTTCAGGAGGAGCAGAACAACATCAGGAAAAGAAGGGCCAACCCTGACTCTGAAATCACATGGGAGGAATACAAGTCCATGAAATTTACATCTCATGTATATAGTTTGTCTCTCTTCGGCCTTTGTTTTTCATGACATCAACTATACACACGTATAGGCTGGTTTATTCTTATTGTATAATTAATGACATGAGCACTTGTGCAAGTGGCATTATTTCATCTGCTTCATTGTTATTTGTAGGTCATACATGAAGCATTAAGGCTAGCTAACATCGCTCCCGTAATGTTTAGAAAAGCAACAGATGAAGTTCATATAAAAGGTGAGAAGATTTTCTAAGGGCACGAGACATGTAAGATATTAAGAGTAACCAATCATATATTTACGAGAGACTCATTGGCAGTTTGCTAATTCATTTATGTATGCACATATAGTACAATGGGTGCATCCTCCTTGCAATCAAAAGGAGGGTAGCGCGCGAAGGGGGGAGATAGGCTGCAACAATTTAACTAAATGATGTCTTAATATGTAATGTATGTACGCGTGTGATTCATGCAGGTTACACTATCCCAAAAGGATCAAAGATCATGGTAAATCCTTCTAGCATTCATCTCGATCCTACTATTTACAAGGATCCCAATGCATTCAATCCTTGGAGGTGGAAGGTTTGTAACATTTGCCTATTTCAAACGGATGTTCTATGTCACTTATAATAAAACAACGCATATGCTTTTTATCATAAAGCAACAAACTTCGGTTGAATGATGTACACTATCTCCAAAATTCATGATATTTTATCATAACATATCCTAGATATTGGCCCGGTTTTAAGTTATTAGTTAATGTGCATCTACAACACTTAGTTGGAAATTTATATTATTACAAAAGAAAAGTAGGTCAAAACCTTTCCAAGAAAGGAAAAGTAGCTCATGATCAATACCCTTCAAACTAAGTAAAGTTATATTTTTACAAAAAAATAATTAAGCATTATGAGTGTTGGAAAAAAATTCAAGAGGGAATTATAGTATGGAAAATAGGAATTAAAATGTAGGAGAATATGTGGCTTATAGTTATTTTATCTCTAATACTTTCTAGCCGAAGCACTAAAAAGGGGATTGCTAAGAATATTTCAAACAAAGGAAGTATTAATTGTTATGCAAGAAGCATCTCTCTCTGAAACCTGGCGAAAACTTTCTACACAGGATACAACTGAACCCGTGGGTGGCTCCTCAAAAGAGTTCATGGCCTTTGGAGGAGGGCTACGGTTATGTGTTGGTGCCGACTTTGCCAAGCTACAAATGGCTATCTTCCTACATTGCTTAGTTACTAAATACAGGTGAATGGCTCTTTCTTGCAATAAAAATATTAATAAATGGTTACTCTAACAACAATAATAAGTATTGATTACCTCTTATTTAATAATAGAGAGATGATCATGTACTCATTTTCAGAATAGGAGAGGATTAAGGCATGTTGGCAATTAATGCTGAGTTAATTAGGCCGTTTTGAGGCGCGTAGGCTGCATCCCATGCATGCGGCCCTTTTACTCCACCACTTCATGTGCTAGGACTGCTCGTTTACTAGTTCTGAGCACACTAATTAGGCATCGTAGTTAATAACCAATGCTATTTTTCAGTACGTGGTACAACCAATCACTAACCACCTTGGTCCGAGAGACTTTTCCAGCGCGCCCTATAAACTGTGACAGAGGGAGTACTAGGTGTTAAACTCCACCAGTTCTTACTATGTTTCTTTGGGAGAAGATATATTTGTAGCCATCAGATCTACTCAAAGTGGATCTAGTGTGCCACAAAAAGATTTTTAGTATACTTCAATAAAACATTTCTAGTATAGAAAAAGGAAAGATCATTTCATAAAACCAATGTTACATTTTGAGTTTTGTGTGACATACTTAAAAATAGAGAGAGAAAACACATCAAAGAAAATAATAGAAATGAAATGAAAACATAAAATCAAATAGCCACCAATCCCATCACCCTCCCCAACCTTTCTCAGGTTAGCCTGGTCAACATTGTAAGGTCCATTCCTCTTACACTTACATCCTAGGGTGCTTGACTCCACCATAATCCTATTGTGGAGGCCTTGATGTTCTTCAAGCCAGACTAGAAGAAGAAAACTAAAAAGGTTGCCTTAATGGAGGGTGCAATGCCTGGGAAAGGGGTAGGTGTGCTAACATTATGAGTAGGAGGGTGCATGTAACTTCATTGGCACAATTTATTTTGTATAAACATGTTCTTATATAGTTCCATAATAGGCATATTTTATTTGCCTGGTCAAGTAACTGGATAAATAGAAGATGTATTTTTTCATTGCCATTATATATTATATGGAAAGTTTCTATTTATGAACTAAAACCTCAACTAAAATCATTACAACTTGCTCCAAGACATATGACTTCTATGTATCCGTGTAGTCGAATTTCATTCATAGACACTAATTAGTCAAAAAATGTATTTGATTAGATACAAATACATTATTAGTTTTCCATGCAACATCATTCGACAATGTAAATTTATGATCATTTACATGCACATTCATAAAAATCAATTGTCAAAGTTGCTAGCGCCGCAAAATCCTTAGTGCAAACTAGTATGCATGCAAGTTTATAAGCTCACAACTTTTTTTGCAGGGGAGCTCACAACTACTTCTGAATAGTCATATTTGTTTTTTCCAAAAATAACCTCTAGGATCAATGTCTCATATTAAAGGTTAATGACCCCCATGGAGGTAATTAGCATAGAGCATTTACAACGTGTTAAGTACAAAGGAAATAGAATATAGTATAACAATAGAAATATGATGGTAGTGTATTACTCTATCAAAAACACACGAATATTATGCTCTTTTGGGAATGTATACTTCTTCTTTCTTGCGAGACTATTTTACATAGATATTTACTCTCTAAATTTTAAACTTGTGTGCGCCTTCTACAGTTGGAAAGTGATCAAGGGAGGAACCATGGTACTTTCTCCTGGACTACAGTTTCCTTGTGGTTTTCACATACAACTTCTCCCAAAGTCGTGATGCATGATTGTTAATGCTTCAATACGGGCAATATCTCTAAGACCATGGGGGATTCACAATGTTTGGCTGGTCAAAGCCATGGGGGATCTCTAAGACCATGTTGTTGTTTGGCTAAGTATCTAGTAATGTATCTGGTGTGTCTATGGATTAATAAAATAACACATAAACATTGATGGAACCATTTTTGTTCAAATTCTTGTTCTTACCACAATTTGTGTGGTCATGTGTGCTTTCCAACCATGCCGCGAAGAGTTTATCTTCCTACCACACTACATTCTCAGGCAACTGTTGGAAATATGCCCTATAGGCAATAATAAGATGTTATTATTTATTTCCATGTTCACAATTAATTATATATTTTTTTACTATAATTGCAATGGTCCTGGATATGAGAGTCAGATGAAAACCCACTTGCATGTGTGGAAATTTAAACACTAAGTAGATCCCTTGTCTCACCTCTAAGACTAGCTCATATACTACATGATGATCCTATTTTCCTGATGATACGACATTGTTAAAGTAACAAGGATGTCGGCAATACTGGGAACACACTGTTGGCTGAAAAATGGTGTTGGATAGACCCACCTTATGATATACTTCAAGATTCAGTCATAACCTTGTTGTCGGTATTATTGTATACTCAAGTCCTTAGACCATGAGAATATCATGGACCTTCATATCGGACAGTTACTTTGGGGTTGCCAAACGTTATTTGTAACAAAATGATTATAGCGAGAACTTTCTGGCACATAGGAAAATTGGGCCCACTCGGTATTATAGTGTCCATCATCGTCTGGCAAGACACAACGTGATACTGACCCCCCGGTGTTGGGAAACATAGCATGCAATTTCAAAAAAAAATCGCACGCTCACGCAAGATATATCTAGGAGATGCATAGCAACGAGAGGGGGAGAGTGTGTCTATATACCCTCGTAGACCGAAAGCAGAAGCGTTTGACAACGCGGTTGATGTAGTCAAACTTTTTCTCATTCCGACCGATCAAGCACCGAACGTATGGTACCTCCGAGTTCTACACACGTTCAGCTCGATGACGTCCCTCGAACTCTTGATCCAGCAAAGTGTCGAGGAAGTAGATTAGTTCCGTCAGCACGACGACATGGTGACGGTGATGGTGATGTTATCCGTGCAGGGCTTCGCCTAAGCACTACGAGAATATGACCGAGGGTGTAATCTTTGGAGGGAGGCGCCTCACACGACTAAAAGAAGTTGATGTGTGTTCTAGGCGCCTCCGTCCCCTCATATATATAGGTAGGAGGGAGAGGGAGCAGCCAAGGGGGGCGCCCCAAGTAGGAGGAATCCTACTTGGGGGCCTTGTCCAATTTGCCCCCCACTTCCTTTTTCACCGAAGGGGGGAGGAAAGAGGAGGGATGAGGGAAGGAAGGGGGAGGCCGATGTTGGGGAACGCAGTATTTCGAAAGAATTCCTACGATCATGCAAGATCTATCTAGGAGATGCATAGCAACGAGAGGGGAAGAGTATGTCTACGTACCCTTGTAGACCTAAAGCGGAAGCGTTATGAAATGCGGTTGATGTAGTCGAATGTCTTCGCGATCCAACTGATCAAGTACGAACGCACGGCACCTCCGTGATCTGCACACGTTCAGCTCGGTGACGTCCCTCGTACTCTTGATCCAGCTGAGGCCGAGGGAGAGTTTCGTCAGCACGACGGCGTGATGACGGTGATGATGAAGTTACCGATGCAGGGCTTCGCCTAAGCACTACAACGATATGACCAAGGTGGAATTCTGTGGAGGGGGGCACCGGACACGGCTAAACAATCAACTTGTGTGTATATGGGGTGCCTCCTACCCCGTATATAAAGGAGTGGAGGAGGGGAGGGCCGACCCTCATAGGGTGCGCCCAAGGGGGGAGTCCTACTCCCAGTAGGAGTAGGTTTCCCCCCTTCCTAGTAGGAGTAGGAGAAGAATGAATAGGGAGAGAGAGGGAAGGAAAGGAGGGGCCGGCCCCCACCCAATTCGGATTGGGCTTGGGGGGGGGCCCTCCAGCTGGCCGCCTCCTCCTATCTCCCACTAAGGCCCAATAAGGCCCATTGACTCCCGGGGGGTTCCGGTAACCCCCCGATACTCCGGTAAATGCCCGAACTCCTCCAAAACCATTCCGATGTCCAAACATAGCCTTCCAATATATCGATCTTTATGTCCCGACCATTTCGAGACTCCTCGTCATTTCCGTGATCACATCCGGGACTCCGAACTACCTTCGGTACATAAAAACACATAAACTCATAATACCGACCGTCATTGAACGTTAAGCGTGCGGACCCTACGGGTTCAAGAACTATGTAGACATGACCGAGACTCACTTCCGTTCAATAACCAATAGCGGAACCTGGATGCTCATATTAGTTCCTACATATTCTACGAAGATCTTTATCGGTCAAACAGCATAACAACATACGTTGTTCCCTTTGTCATTGGTATGTTACTTGCCCAAGATTCGATCGTCGGTATCTCAATACCTAGTTCAATATCGTTACTGGTAAGTCTCTTTACTCATTCCGTAATGCAACATCCTTCAACTAACTCATTTGTCACATTGCTTGCAAGGCTTATAGTGATGTGCATTACCGAGAGGGCCCAGAGATACCTCTCCGACAATCGGAGTGACGCATCTTAATCTCGATCTATGCTAACTCAACAAACACCATCGGAGACACCTGTAGCGCATCTTTATAGTCATCCAGTTACGTTGTGATGTTTGATAGTGATACGTCTCCAACGTATCTATAATTTTTGATTGTTCCATGCTATATTATATTCTATTTTGGACATTATTGGGATTTATTATACACTTTTATATTATTTTTGGGACTAACCTATTAACCGGAGGCCCAACCCAGAATTGCTGTTTTTTTTCCTATTTTAGGGTTTTGTAGAAAAAGAATATCAAACGGAGTCCAAACGGAATGAAACCTTCGGGAACGTGATTTTCGGAACGAACATGACCCAGGAGACTTGGACCCTACGCCAAGCAACCAACAAGGAAGCCACGAGGTAGGGGAGCGCCTACCCCCCCAGGCGCGCCCTCCACCCTTGTGGGCCCCATGTTGCTCCACCGACGTACTTCTTCCTCCTATATATACCTACGTACCCCCAAACTACCAGATACGGAGCCAAAACCCTAATTCCACCGCTGTAACTTTCTGTATCCACGAGATCCCATCTTGGGGCTTGTTCCGGAGCTCCACCGGAGGGGGCATCGATCATGGAGGGCTTCTACATCAACACCATAGCCTCTCCGATGATGTGTGAGTAGTTTACCTCAGACCTTTGGGTCCATAGTTATTAGCTAGATGGCTTCTTCTCTCTTTTTGGATCTCAATACAAAGTTCTCCCCCTCTCTCGTGGAGATCTATTTGATGTAATCTTCTTTTGCGGTGTGTTTGTTGAGACCGATGAATTGTGGGTTTATGATCAAGTTTATCTATGAACAATATTTGGACCTTCTGAATTCTTTTATGTATGATTGGTTATCTTTGCAAGTCTCTTCGAATTATCAGTTTGGTTTGGCCTACTAGATTGATCTTTCTTGCAATGGGAGAAGTGCTTAGCTTTGGGTTCAATCTTGCGGTGTCCTTTCCCAGTGACAGTAGGGGCAACAAGGCACGTATTGTATTGTTTCCATCGAGGATAACAAGATGGGGTTTTTTTTATCATATTGCATGAATTTATCCCTCTACATCATGTCATCTTGCTTAAAGCGCTACTCTGTTCTTATGAACTTAATACTCTAGATGCATGTTGGATAGCGGTCGATGTGTGGAGTAATAGTAGTAGATGCAGGCAGGATTCGGTCTACTTGTCTTGGACGTGATGCCTATATACATGATCATACCTAGATATTCTCATAACTATGCTCAATTCTGTCAATTGCTCAACAGTAATTTGTTCACCCACCGTAAAATACTTATGCTCTTGGGAGAAGCCACTAGTGAAACCTATGGCCCGAGGTCTATCTTCCATCATATTAATCTTCCAACACTTAGTTATTTTCATTGCCTTTTATTTTACTTTGCATCTTTATCATAAAAATACCAAAAATATTATCTTATCATATCTATCAGATCTCACTCTCGTAAGTGACCGTGTAGGGATTGACAACCCCTTATCGCGTTGGTTGCGAGGATTTATTTGTTTTGTGTAGGTGCGAGGGACTAGCGCGTAGCCTCCTACTGGATTGATACCTTGGTTCTCAAAAACCGAGGGAAATACTTATGCTACTTTGCTGCATCACCCTTTCCTCTTCAAGGGAAAACCAACGCAGTGCTCAAGAGGTAGCAGATAGCACACTAAGTGTTCCTCCGGTATTCGGGAGTTGCATAATCTCATAGTCATAGGAACATGTATAAGTCATGGAGAAAGCAATAGAAATAAACTAAACGATCATAGTGCTAAGCTAACGGACGGGTCAAGTCAATCACATCATTCTCTAATGATGTGATCCCGTTCATCAAATGACAACTCATGTCTATGGTTAGGAAACTTAACCATCTTTGATTAACGAGCTAGTCAAGTACATGCATACTAGTGACACTCTGTTTGTCTATGTATTCACACATGTACTAAGTTTCCGGTTAATACAATTCTAGCATGAATAATAAACATTTATCATGATATAAGGAAATATAAATAACAACTTTATTATTGCCTCTAAGGCATATTTCCTTCAGCCGAATCCCTCCCCTTACTTCTCTCTTTCCCCCTTTCCTTTCCCCTCTGGTGTGGACCATATGGGGGGCGCAGCAGCCCCTGCTGGCTGATGTGTTTCCCCTCATGGCCCATTAGGCCCATATCTTTGACGGGGGTGCCTGGAACCCCTTTCCGGTGACCCGATATGTACCCGGTACCCCCGGAACACTTCCGGTGTCCAAATACCATCGTCCTATATATATATATATCAATATTTACCTCTCAACCATTTCGATACTCCTCGTCATGTTTGTGATCTCATCCGGGAC